GAGATAAGTCGAAGTCAAAGACTAGTCCTTAATTAAGAATTTAGTGTCAGAGATAGCCTACGGTCATTTAGTACAGTGCAAAAAAGAGAACCCGGGATGACAAATGAAAAACATGCCCATACTAGTTCTTCTGCGTGTTACATGTTTGTCTCATTTGCCTGTTTCCCAAGACTACTTTTTTAGAATGAAAACATCAATTTTGAGGAATATGGAAGTCTTTACTGCTAGTACTGCACTTCTACAAATTAGCACACCAATAATCTAATATAATACATATGTTAATACTGGTGAAAGAAAACGAAAATCTGCCCAGAGATGGGCTGTTTTGCTTTCTGGTGAAATCCCTGTGATAGGGCAAAGAAAGATGAAGTTGATAAAATTTTTAAACTTCCGAATTTATGAAGGAGGAATGTAGAGGAGAGCAAGAGCTGAGTGACTGTGCTGAACAATCAGAGCCAAGTCACCTGAGCAGGAGGCAGCAAAGTGGTACCAAGAGGCATCTTGTCTCTTCTCAGTGCCTCCATGGCCAACACACGTGAGTAGCTATTAACTGTTGTAAGCAGCAGTTAATCTCTGAACATCAAAATAAGTATACCCATATTTGCAAAATATCTTCCAAAAACAATTCTCAGACGTGAAAAAGACACAGGCATGTGGGTATTTTCAGCCAGACCAGGGAAGAACAAGCAGTGTTTCACAATGCAGCCTGTATGATTTGTTGCAAAGCCACAGGAATCAACAGCCTTGTCATCAATCCTTTGCTTTGGGAATCAGCTCTTCTCCAGTGTTCACACGGCAGCTCACCTCTATTTTCTCAGTGATACCAGGTTCTGCTAGCTCCCTTTCTGCTTTCCCTCAGGCATCTGTGTACTTTCTTCCCTACCACCATGAACACCCTCTCTGCAGAAAACAAACTAGCAGCCCTTAACCTTTCTCATGTCCTCCCTCACCACTAAGTCCTACTCTGAAGCTACAACTTTCATTTAATGACGGTCAGGCTGGTGGCAAAAGCATGGGATGCTGCTGGTTGATTGACTGCACTGTTCTCTCTTAGGAAACACTCTCTCTAAGGAAATACTTATTTTACTTTTCTTGCTTTCTTTTTGCCTACAAACTATTGCATTTGTTACTTTACCCTGAAAAAAAAAAAAAACAACAAAAAAAAACAAAAAACAAAAAACCAAGAGAGGAAAAGAATCCAAGTCAAATCAGAGCAAAAATCCCAGGTTTGTTTTTTTTTTTTAAAAAAAAACAAAGCTATCTGTTTTCAGTAGTCTATTGTTACTTCATCAACCTTCTCTCAAATTATTCTTCTGATATCCTAGACTTCAGGCACACGCTATCCTTTTATTATGAAACACAGTAGATGGGATTTCATCTTGATCTGTGTTCTAGGCTGCTGCAACCATTTTAAAGGAGTAGTAACAGGTGTACTTAGAACTAAACTCAAGTGAGATGAGATTTGTTGTGAGAAAGAAAGCAACAAAGTGGAATGCAAATCTGCTAAAGACTGCATTTTTGCCGTAACAGTGAGCTAAAAAAGCATGCAATAACTTGTGGGTCCATTAAAATTGCAGCGTTTAAGTCTGCAGAAGTTTATTATATAGAAGCTGTAGGTTTGTTTCTGGTTTGAAAAAAAAATAGAAATACGCAAAGCCAGAATGTGAGTGGGCATAAAATCTTAATAGGTCTGTCCTCAGAATACATTCAGAAAGAAACTTGTCATAGAAAGAGTTTAATGTCTTTCAGATACTCTGCACTGCCCAATAATCAAACAGAATTAAAGTGTAGTTAATTACACAGCTTGAAATGAATGTATTAGTTACTTAATGCTACCACTTCTACCCCTAATAGACTTCAAGCTGTCTTGAACCAAATTAGAAACGGGAACAGCAGCCCAGCGTGATTTGCCATATGCAGAGATAACGGACAGGGACCATTAACTGCCTTTAATGGTGTGAACATCAAGAATTTACTGAAGAAAGAATACAAGTACCTGAATCATGTGTTACAGTGAAAGTGAAAGCAGGAATTCTCTAATCGCTGCTGGAAAGGAAAATGCAATGATAATAGTATAGAAATAATAACTGCTAGAGCAAGAAAAGCTGGGCTAACTACCAACATACTGGAAATAACAAATAACCAGTATTCATTTGATGAAGGTTTGAAATCATCACACATAGAAGGAGAATATTTTGCACCAGAACGTGTCATTCCCTGAAGCATTTTTGTTGTTGTAACACACACATATACACCTATTTTAGAGTCAATAGTGAGCAAAGAACTATGCTGAAATTTCCAAATGTTTCACAGCATCTGATGTACAGAAAAGTGGTACATTCGACCCCTCCAGCTGCCTTAAATTAATGCAGACACACACACAGACTATACAAAAAAAGCTCTGAAAGAAAAGAACAAACTTCCAGATGTCTGGAGATCTTTACAACAGGCTATTACTCTTGTGCAACCAGGAAGCAATGTACTGGTACTCATCATCACCATCATCAACAGGGTTGGACTCAATGATATCTTGAGGTCCCTTCCAATCCCTACAGCTCTTTGATTCTGTGATCACAATATTTGTTTATCACTGTCATAAAAAAGAACTCAGAGGGTTTAAAATGTGACACAGTCACACACCACAAAACTTTTAGCAGCAGAACATGGTCTATGTGCTCCCTATACTTAAACAGGTTTTCTAAAAATAATACACATAAAACATCATTTCAATGCAACTTCGATCTTGCCACCCAAGAAAGTCCTTGCCTGCAGACAGTGCTTTATAAATACTAATTTGCTGTTTCAGAAAAAGTGTGGACTGGTACCAAATGATCAAAAACGTAAATCGTCTACACAAAAGTATATTAATATCCCTAAAATTTAAAAAGGCAAAGGCGTACAGATATCTCACAATACTGCCGTATTAAATGTGGAAAAATCATTTCACATACACAAGAAAGTCCACAGTTTTTCTGTAAACGAATGACAACAAAATCGACCATTGCTAAAAGCTGACACTTGGAAATGGACGAAGAAATCTTCCGTCATCTTCTAGGCAAATTATCATAGAACCAACTGGGTAGCCTCATGCTATTCTTCATTGGAGTATAATTAATTGTGTCATTCCATGCTATGCAGTATTAGCTTGTAAAATAAACTGCTATGAAAGAAACTTCCATTCAGCATCATATGCAAGACATATCCGCAGTGCCAACTATCTTAATAATTATCATCTGACCCCAATTCCCATCATAGAATTTTTGTATTAAGAGCTAGAGATTTCCTTCTTACAACTGCTTTAATAAAATTACCTTATTGTTCTTCTCCAATAAATAAATTATACACTAACATTACACTATACACTTGGCTTGTACCCATGTCTTTATGCTGTATCTTTGTGTCATTAAGCTTTACTTACGACTGGTATCATTAGATCAATCATTTCTTAGACCAACAATTTCTTAGATCAACTATTTCTTAGAAAAACTAAACAAATAAATCAACAATGTCAGTTGATGGAAAACACCAAGTGGAAAGCCAACTGCTGTGACTCTTACCCCTAAATCTCTGCATGGCACCAGTGCACACCATAATGCAGAAGCCACTGCTTAGACCTGATTATGTAGTCAACAAAAATTGTAACAACTTACAGTCAGCAAAAACTCAATGTGAAGCTTGGAGGTTGTGTGAGGTTGACAGAGCCAGCCCAGTCCCCTAAAAAGAGGCCAGTTCAGCCAAGTCTTTCACACCACCTTCAGAGCTGCTATAGATTTAGGACACTGGCTTAACCTTGCCATTGCTGCACATCCTTCTGTGGTACACATGCAGATTGCTTTCCTATCCCCCTGGTGAGAAAATACAGAATCAACTCACTGTCACTGCTGCTGTCTGGACAAGAGCACTGCTGGTTTACTGGGTGAGGAAGTGATTTCCTATTGGGCCTTTGTGACTACCCCAGTTCAAAGACTGATCTTTGGAAAGTAACATACACAGGTAATATGCTTCTGCCATGCCAAGCTGCCATTAGCACAGTGAGAATGCTCCTACAAACACCAGAGAAGAAGACTGAGAGGACTGAGCCTCACTTACTGGACCTGTGAGGTGGTTATGGCAGCTTCTAGGAGGACCATACAGCAGAAGATATTTGCTCTGTGTCCCTGGTGAAGGAGACAGGATAAATGGAAAGTTTCCATTCTCCAAATTTTACATTTGACACACAGTACATTCCTACTCAGAGGCTTCATTTTCTTTGAGCTGGCTGCAACAAAAGTACCAGATTACCAAGTACCAGCACCAGGATTGCAAGTACCAGACCAGCTCAAACTGTAATGGTGGTCTAGCGCTGTGCTGGGGAAACATGAGCAAATTTCTTATAATTGTGCATAAAAAAGACTTACTGCTGCTTTTTTTCTTTTTTTTTCAGCAAGAATATCAAGCAGTAACATGAATTTCTTCTAATTTTAAATATAAGTACCAGGCTGAGTGACCTGTACAGCTATTCCTTTCTGTGTATTCAATGCCCTACTTCTATGGCTTTCTGCAGATCCCCAGCTATGAATATATGTAATTCAGTGCCTTGTGCAAGTATGCCATTGGATCTAGCATCTGTGAAGTTAAAATATCTTTTTGGATAGCTTTCATTTGAACAAGTCTTCCATTGTGAAAAGAGAAGGACAACTGTATCTGTACAGAAGATCATAAAGAGACCCTCTTATAGTTTCAGACTAGAACTTTGTGGGGCAAAATTGTATGTGAATCAACTGACAAGCAAATGTACCCACTGTAGTTCCAACAGTTTGAATTTACCACAATTATTTGCTCCAGGTTTTTAAATCAGATCCAAACAATTATTTAACTCGGGTTCATGCAAATAGGCTGTGAAAGGATGTTCACATGTTCTAAAGTATCAGTAGAGTATCATTTAGTAATTTACAGCTAAAGCACAAAGAAAGAATGACTTCTAAGCAAAGCAGAGATAAAAACATCTGTGTTCCCCTTACCATTTTAGGATTCAGTATCTTCTGAACTCAGCAACAACTTGTTCTTCGATTTCAGATGGCATCAGTAGGTTCTTTGAAACTTCATGACTTTTTCCCAGCTGCTGCTTGTCAACTTCTTAATAAACAATTAGGACAGAGCAAAATGAATCACAGTGACATACAAGAAATAAGTAGCTTCTTTGTTAAAATACGTAAGTAAACAACGAAATGTAAATCTACAAATATTTCTATTACTAAACTTCTGTTGTTACCAGCAACAGGCTTTAATAGGTAGAAATATTTATTTTAATCATTGGCTCAATTCAATTTGTTTCACCTTGCCTAGACTTCAGAAGATCCTTATTTTATCACCATTTTTCTTACGAATCAGTGAACAGCAAAACTGTTAGCTGGACTCTTGCCTCTTCATCTCTATTTTATCTGATTCTCATGAGCTCAGTGTTACATCATTCAGAGATAAAATTCAGATAATTTTAGTGTCAAAGTACTTCAGTCTTCTTTTCCCCCCTTTTCATGCAAAGAATGAGCTGTTTTCTTTTTAGCATAGCATTCAGCCAGCTTCCTGCCCCATACAACCCTTACGCATGTAGGGCCAATGTCATATGCACAATGCATTTTACAAACTGATTTTAAAAACATCAGCCAGATATTATTTGCTTTTTAAGAACACAGCTACGGAAAGTGCTTATCAAAAGAAATCTAAGCATTTTAGAATACTTTTAATTAACTAAAAGTAGGAAGGGATTCCACATGACGCTGCAAAGAAGCAGTTAGTATATCATGTGAAACGTGCAGAAATATAGACAGCAGCAATCCTGCAAACTCTTCAAAAGCAGATTAAAATCTTGTGAATGAATATGATTATGAAATATTAACCATTTTATTTATGACATTCCAAATGCCTGTCCTGACAAAAGCTTCAGAAGCAGAGTCCCCTCTTACTTGCAAGATGTCTGTCATAACTTTGTAGTAAAACCTGTTTATCTCAGTACAGTGAAAATCTACTTTTGCTGAGCGATAGCAGTTTGATGTATTCTTGGGACATCACTAATGTCTGCTATGTGTTTACATCTCACTCCAGTTCTCCTGGGAGATTCTGGGAAGCTAATCACACACACCACCTCATATTTATTAAACCAACTGCTTCAATAAAAAAACTGAACTCTTATTTTAATCTTTTGAAACAGGCAGCCCATGCCAACAGTGAAACCACCCACATTTCAGTCTACCAAGAATGAGTGACATTTGCTTTCACGCATCATGCAGATGCAACCTTACAAAATGCTACTTAACCTCAGAACTCTTGACCATAAAGGTCTCCTCAAAAGAACCATCTTGCTATGATTTTTTCAATGGCTTCCACAACGCTCAAGTTAATGCCATGTGAAACCTCAGCAACTTGTTCTCCAAAAGCTAGAAGGATCAATTTTCTCATTTCTGTCTTCCTATTACTTATCCTCACTCCTTATTGAATGCAGCTATATTTCAGTATGTTAATCTTAGGATTTTTTTTTTTTCCTATGCTATGGACTGTAAAATTCTGTAACTCTATCCATTCTAAATGGTATCAATTTTAGCCAAGATTTAAGAGTTGTACTTCCTATTGGAAGAAAACTGTCCAGTTCTGGGAACTGCGGAGAGCACTGAAGTCCACTTAAAAATGTCTTCCATGAATTTTCCACAGCTAGCTAAACTAACTATTACCAGAGTTTATTGTCTATCCTCTTAGCCATGGGTCTTTCTGCTCTTATAAAATGAAATTATCTCTTTCTAAAAATGGATCGCTCCCAGCTGTCTGCTGGGAGTGAATCCTGGCCCAAACCAGCTACTCTCATGTCCAAGAAACTATGAGAAAAACTCTGACCGGGCCAAACAGAAGAGGCAAGAACTATTTTAACAGGAAACAACATAGGCAATCGAGATTCAGTACTGGGAAATATTCCCTGTTACTGCTGGACAGAAATTACAACTTGGCACTGCCTAGAAACCATAAAACCCTATTTAGTGCAATGCTACATATACACTAAGCATTTGATGCTCAGATAAAAGCTTTTGTTTTTCTTTTCCCCTCTTACAAAAGTTACATGTAATACTCCCCCCTTTCATTAGCATGGCAGTAAACAAGCATAAAGGACAAATATTATTTTAAAATTTTCTCGAGTCTAGAAATGATGACAGATTTGAAATAACTTCAGTTTTGCTGTTGGCAGCCGGCCATTCTCTGAGCTAATATAGGAGGGCAGGTTGTTTCAATAGTTCCAAGTTCTCTGAGACCAAGAGTGTTGCATTTCACAGTTGAGCCACTGGGGACTGAATGTCAATCCCACCAGCTCCTTGAGTTTGGTAACAGCATGAGCTCTTTTTCCTACGTAGCAACATGGAAGACAAAAACAGATCATGAGAAGTCTAGCACCAATTAGATTTTTTCAGGCATATAGCAGGCAGGAAACCATGTGAGGCTCACATGTCATGAGTTCAACATTTGCAATCTCCATTATCCCAGCATACAACCTAATCACAGTCTTATAAAAGCTCCAATAAAAAGTCAAGAGGTTGCTCCTCTGAATCAGCTCTTCTTTATTGATTCATTTTTCCTTTTCCTGTAATCCAAGTAAGGTGCCATGAGTTCTCGTATGCCTGCTGCAGTGGTTACCACCTGTCTTGCAGCAGGTGGGTCTCTTTCTGTGCATGGAGCACTCTTCAAAACAGCCCTTTATTCTCTTATTATGGGACAAAATTTAGTCCCACTAAAACCTACTGTCCAATTGTCTTCATGAAATCACAGCCACAGCCCAACAAGCACTGCTGCAGACAAAAAGCCACAGTAGTTTGGAAACATGCTTTTTCATCTGAGATTTAATGACCTATTTGCTTTTTCCAGAAGACTCCATGTTGTGACATTTTGCTCTTACAGATATTATAAACAACTCTTCTCAAAGCTGTGGCCCTTAATTTTGTTTGCTGGCTTTGCATAATGTGAAGACATATTTAACAGTCTCTCCAGTAACACCAGGAATTACTGCAATGGATTTATTCTAAGTATTCTCTTCACATACATAAATTTCCAATGAATCTCAGCTCTGTGTAATGATAACTCACATAAAATCTTCTCTTATAAAACAATTGCTTATGTCTTGACATTCTTCTTGATGTTTGATTTCCCTTTTCTTGTTATTCTTATCCTCTACCAGCAAATTTGTTTTATGTAAGGACATGAAGGAGGAGTGAGTCTTTTTAGGACAAAAGGATAAGGGTGTTTCAGAGATGACATTTGTAGAGTAGCTGTGTCACCATGATTTAACTCAGCAGTTTAAGGGTAAGCCAATTGGCCAAATTCATGACAGACTGAGAAATTAGATTTCACTGTGTTAAGGGAACATATATGACGTAGGTTTGCCATGGACTAGTTAAATATGGAGGTCATTTGCTTACGTTTTTATACAATATTTCTTATATTTGCTGTTAGTTTTCTTCAAAAACACAACGTTAGCACTTTTTGGCCTTAATTTCCAAAGACATTTTGTCCCAGGATGTCAAACACTGTTGATCATTACACAAACGTAATACACAGTAAAATGTGCACTGCACAGTTGAAAAGCGCTTGGTGACAATTACTTATTCAGCCACCTTCATCACTTGTTGCAACAACCAAGGGATTGTGAGAGATGCCTTTAGAGTCGTGTTGCTATGGTGTGCTGGTACATAAGGAGCAGTGATCACACAGCTAATCATCTGTGACTGAAGTTAGGTGCTCATCGTCCCCACCACTGCAGCCTGCAGCAGTCCCACGAGCTGCATGCATTTTTATGTGACAGGAAGTAATGGCCTGGATGGATGCAGTGAAGTGAAAGAAGCATTCATCTTGCGACAGAGCAAACAGCAAAACCCAGCACCAATGCTGTAAATGCACTCTTCCTCCTTTTCATCTGCTTGTTTCTTCCGACACTTCAGTTTTAAAAAGCTTTATTTTGGAATGCATTCTGTATGAAAAGTGGCACTGTCCTCAGAGGAATAGATCACTGACCCACAAAAGCTTCTGTATGGTTACCAATCAGCCTTTTGTGCACACTTAGGGATTCACCAAAGTTATCTAGGCTGAAGAAATCTTATCAAAGTCTCCAGTATTATACCAACTGCAGAAGCATCAAGGGGAATTTTATGCTAATGATTCTCTTTAATCTCCATATAATTCAGGCCAGCTAAAAATAGATCTTTTACAAACAATGAATCATCATGACTTTAAGTGAATGCATCTTTGCCTCAATACAGTTGAAGTCTCTGTTCCATAGCACCTTTCTTTCCTCTCTTCATCTAAACAAGCAGCCAACAAGCCAGTTGACAAAAATAAATAGCATTATTTTTAATTCTACTCTCCCAGTTCATCTACCAACAGCATGACCAAAGACAAGTAAAGAAGTAATTCCAAATAACATATTGATTTGAAGCATAAAATCATTCCAGAGGAAAAACATTTACCAATTGATTAGAATCAAGAGAATTGGACATGAGATTGTCAGACCTCACAGTGGCAGAAAAAGCCAAGGTAGTTTCTTTCAGGGATGGGAAGGGAAAAGGAACCTAATCCCAGGGATGGCTGTAGACCTACTTTTACTGCTGTCCCGCTCTGCTGGAATGTGTGGGAAGCCAAAGATCGTGGAGTGACTGAAGCTATTTGTATGATTAATTACTGCCCATGTAACCTTACAGATCAGATCTGTCTGAAAAAATTTCATTCAGTGATATTCTATATGCAAAGATTTCTCTCAGTATGTCACCATAAGCAGAAAAATAGCTTTGAAAATGCTCTAAGGCAGGCCTGCACATTAAGGAAATTCTTTTGTACCTCTTAACCCGTTTTACTCAAAGCTACTACTGCTGAAGAGAAGTAGAAACAGTCGTGTTTAAATCCTAAACAATAATTCTTCTGGCATTTGGTAAACTACTCACCTCTCAGTGACAGTATAATTATTTCCTAACATAGTTCTGGATTCCTTGAATTTTACCAGCACCCTCATGAAATTCCCTTCAGACTGATATATAAGATAAGGATTTGTATGCATTTTTCTTAGACAGGAGGTGGAATAAATGAACAA